TAACATGAAACAAGTGATTCAAACTCAAAAAACTATAGATCATATTTTGAACGACGCGAGGAGTGTCACGATTAGGGTCTTCTACTGCCTGTCATATTCCACTATTTGTTTTTATGGTCATTTATTCCGCTGTTATCTATTCACTGTCCCAGCTAATTATATTAATTCATTTTTTTATTTGTCACATAGCTCATTGATGTTTCTGGTGCAGATGTGATCAAAGAAGCATTGGGAGATAAGTGCCGAGTTGATCTTTTAGATAAATGTGGCCATACTATTTCATTAGATCATCCTTACCAAGAAGCCAAAGTTATCATGGAATTTGTTAATAATTGATAACATTCCGAAGTAAAAATAACAAATGTATAATCAGTTGTTGAAAAATGCAGAGTTTAAAGCGACACAGTCATTGTTCGGCGCACGTTCTAAATCCATGTAAACAAATAATGTACTCCGTCTATATTGTATATGTCAGATGGGACCCATAATGAGTGTGACGTGACCGCCGACTGTGGCACTTTATCAATAGTAGTGTATATGACAGTTTATTAAATCTCAAGTGTTATTTTGTCAAATTATATAAACAATATTTCTTTAAAATGTGATTGATCCATTTAATATAAATGACAGAGCATTGTTGACTAATATGAAAACTGGGTATCCAATTGAAATTATAATGTTTTGTATGGGTAATGTCACATTATTAGGATATCATCTGCAATTATGTAGACATATTTATAATGTTAACCATATGACTAGCAATACATGTAATTGAATAAGGGTGGAAATAATAAGATCGTATAAATAAATATGTACTAACATATATTGCATGCTATACCAGAATGTAAATGAAAACAATAAAGATTGTATTCTACATGTCATCATTTACTTGTTTCTATTTTCCCGTCAGAAAATTGTATATGTATTAAATTGCAAGTTGTTGAATATTCTGGTGCAAAATCATTGATTTTATTTAAACCCAAAAATGCAGAATTACGATTGCATGTGGCGGTTTTCTTCTGTTTGTATTCGACATTCTATTTGCAGACGCAAAGTATATAATATAATGATTTTAAATGTAATAATTAGTATATCCAATTACTTAATTATGTAAATATGTTGTTGAA